AGTCAAAAATAAGTAGAAGGAAATTCCTTCTAGACCTTGTCCTTGTGGACCCAGGAGTTGGACTTGATCCTTGTGAGTCCCTTCCAACTCAGGATATTCTTGGATTCTATAGTTCTGTAACATTTCACACAGACACAGAAATGGCCACAAGAAAGCTCTCAGGCAGATTCACAGAAAATAGACCTGTCAGGGCTACAGGAGGTCATCCAGAGCATCCTCTGTCTTGAGGCAGAATCTTCTACCAAAGCCCATTTTGAGACATATCAGCCTAACACCTTCTCAAGCCCCTCACCTCATTGTGGGGTCTCTTTTGGTTCCCCCAGCAATTGACTGCACTGACTCTAACGTTATAGAGGTTTTCCTAATGAATAGCCCAAACTTTCCTGTCTGTGGTTTTCTACTGCTTTCAGTCACAGTCACAACAGACATTAAGAGCAATTTGGGCTGGATACAGCTGCTAGCCCCTACAGTAGCTGTCAGTGTTGTGCCTTTCACAGACACGCTGTCAGAAGGAGTGCTGAACATGGAGTAGGTATAAAACCTATCATCACAGGCACACAAAGCTCAGTAGATCAGTGATAAATGCTGCAGTTGCTCCTATTCTGGATCACCCCAGTCTCAAATGCTGAAGCTAATTTGATGACATGGGAACAAAAACTCCTTTATTCTGGTCAAAATAAGAGACATGATACTACTGGGGTAGTGTGAGCTTTATTATTATTATTATTATTATTATTATTATTATTATTATTATTATTATTATTATTATTATTATTATTATTATTATTATTATTATTTATTAAGTGGAACATTTTGCCCATGTGAAATCTTATTTTGCTCTGTCTTATCATTGATCCTTCTTCTTGTTTTTTCACCATGGTAACATTTTATCCCCATTACTGAGCATACAATTAAGATTTTAGATTTCTAATTTCAGACTGCAGATATACTGATGGATACAAAGCACCCACGCCTGAGATGTAGTATGTGTGTTACACAGGCAGATCCTCTGCATCAGAACAGTATATTTGCTTCCTAGGTGATTACACTGCCATGACAATATTTTCCTCAAACACTGAGAAAGCCAGAAGAGAAGCGGAGGGCAGTGAAGCAAGGAAGAGCACGGGAGTGGCAGCAGAAAGGAAAATGGGGTGGGAGGTCAGTTGTGGGTAGACGTAAGTTAGAGGTAAGTTAGAAAAGAGAAAGGCAAGCAAAGACAGGGAGAGTGGTAGAGGGTCCAGAGAGAGCAGGGCAGAAATGGAGCAAGGCAAAAAAACTGGGACACGAGATGGAATCTACTGGGAACACAGCAGGGTGGAAAGAAAATGGTGAGGGCAAGGTAAGAACAGTCTCTTTGAGTGATGGAAAAAAGGTGGCTTCAGAGAAGGAATGAGAAGAAGGAATGAGGCTGGGAGACTGGGCAGAGAAGAAGGTGGAGGGAACAGGCAGTTTGGAGGAAAAGAGGCTGTCAGGTATGGGAACAGAGCAGGGAGGTAAAGAGTGAGAGTTTTCTCCTCCCAGCTATAAGCAGAAATTAAATGCTACCAACATCTGAGTAGCCAGTATCTGCCTAGGCATCTGACTTTTCAACCTGAGATAATTGGATATGATGGTGGCAGGCTTCCTCAAATATCACAACACTTATGAAATATAACTCTTTGCAATTTAAAAATCAGCCACATGTCTTGAGGGACAAGCATTATCCTGGAAGTTTGCAAGATATGATGTTGGCAATAAGACTGTTGGCAGGGAAAGTATTTCTACCCTGCTTGAATTCTCCCTTAAAAAAAAAAAAAAAAAAAAGTAATAAAACGTACTAAAATGCATGAAACCTAACCACATAGCTACTTATTTGTATTCAGCAACCAAATCCTTCTGTGAGAGCCATTATTAAGTGCACAGAATCCCATAATGCTCTTTAAATATCATGTGCAGAAGAAGCAGCAAAGCGCAGAGGAAGCAAAACTGCTGTCTCATGGTTCTCCCTCTTTTTATCAACCCACTGCCTGGTACAGATTGCAGTGGTGGTGTTTGAATTTTGCCTGTGGATTCTAAGCAGCAGGAGACTGCCTTCTTGCTGTCCTCACTGTCCATGGGGGAAGACAAGCAGACAATACAGGCAGCTCCAGGGGAAGTCTGGCTTGTCAACAGTGTGGTCACTTTCAGGCTACACTTTGGAAAGCAGTTTATTAGTAATTCAGTCACACCATAGCAGGATCACTGAGGGACAAGGAAGACTGGAGGCAGAAAAGAGGAAAGGAAAATGAAAAACAATAAAAAAATGGTGTTGGTTGTTGTTTGCTTGGTTTAGTTTGGTCATTTTTTGGTTTGTTTGCTTGTTTTTATCCCATACAAAAGCTCAGGTTTCTTAAGTCCAGAAAGGAAAGAAATATGGGAACCGTGGGGTAAACTGTGTCCATGAAAGCCTGAGTTCTAATTAGACACGATTTCACTGAGTTTCACCCTGCATATTTTGCTAAGGCAGTCTATTTTACCATGAATCATTTTGATGCCATGACATTGCCATGATACATCCCAATACTTCATTTTTCATAGCCGTGTCTTAGACAGCAAGGAGCTTCCTGGGGTTATGCTGAGGCTGTCTCTGCACTGGGGGAAACGAGCCAGCTGTGGTCCAGCCACGACTTGGACCCCTGCTATGACTTGGGCCCAAACATCTGCACTGTGCTTAGGAGGACAGTGGGGCTGGCAAGGTCACGGTTGCCACTGCCCCTTTTCTCATGGCCTCTCTGATCTGCAGTTGAAAAACCACAACTGATGTGCTCTCCCTGTGGAGACCCATGGGGCATGCAAGAGACAGATCCTCATCCTGAAGGTGTTGGTGGGCCCTTGCTCTCCCAGAGTGCCCAGTGCACAGGTTTCTAAGTCACCAGAACCTCTGAACAGTGGAGCTGAAGGTAGAGAGGAATGTGCAGGGCCAGGACAGGGGATGTTCCCCATCCTGAGAAGCCTGGCTGTGCCTTAAGTGCATGGGTGGGGGGCTTTGCCAGCTGCCCCTCTTGTGTCTGCTTTGTGAAAGGGAAGGATCAAGGGCAGTCAGCATCCCTGGGATAATCCCCGGTGCAGCTTGAGGGGGCTGGGACATGGCTCCTCATGTGTGCTGTGGGTAAGAAGCTGACAGCTGTCTACTTTCATAAAGCTGAATTTCATAAAGGAGCCATCTTTCTGCAGGTTACTGCTTTGTATATGAAAGTGTCAACAGCAGCTAAGAATGCTTTGCCTTCCAGACATAAGAAATGCTAGGGCTTCCACATTTACATGCTTTTAAAAAAATGGATTTTGATGCATAAAAGAAAGCTACAATCCATGAAAATTACTGCCCTGAATTTTGTGTCCCCATATCCTATTAAACTTAGAGATACACAAGAGCTTCTCTTGGGGAGGGTGGGGAAAACCCAAACAAACTCAGACTGCCTAGATGTGAATTGCATTTTCTTTCTTCTTTTTGACTTTGTGAAAGCCTGCTTGTCACTGGGAAGAGGAATAGTTTATCTTCAGCTGTCCTATTTATGTTACAAGAGTGTGACCAAGAAATCAATGCACTTAGCAGAAGAGAAAGGTACCAAATTGTAACTAGGTCATAAGCACACTATCTCTCTTTTGCCTTGAAGCCCTGCTCTTCTCTTTTCTATTGTTTTTCTGCACCAAAATGCATTGCTCTTTGAAAAACTCCATCCCAAACTTCTCACTGATGTGTACTTTTCATTTTCATTTTAATTTTCGTTTTCATTTTCATTTTCGTTTTTGTTTCTGAGCACTGGTGCATTGGCTATTACAGGTTGTATGTAAAGTCCATCAGAAAATGAGAGAAATAGTGAGTATTAAGTCTGTGTCTTGCATGCCTCCTCTTATAATCCAAATAAAATATAATTCCCATGATTCTTGTTGAACAGGTAGGCAAGGATCAGATAAGCCTTACTGTGGTAATCATAATCCTTATTGATACTTATATATAGATGTGCTTGTTGTTTTAAAGGGCTGAATACACATTCAAGTGGTACAATCTAAGGCATTGTTGATGAGGAGAAAGACAACTTGATCAGCAACAGAACAAGACACCTACCAATGCCCCCAAATTCTCCCTCTCCCAAGAGCTTTCACAGCTCCAGCACAAGGCAGTAGATGGGTATCAGTTCAGGCCCTGTCATACTGTTCCCCCCAAACCACCCCCATGATCATTCCCCCTTGTGTAACTGCCACTGCTGGACATAATGCAAGGTCCAAGGAAACCCTCTGTGGACAGTGAGATAGGCAAACAAAAATATTCAGTCATTCCATATATTTTGATTCTTCCAATCATTTCAAGCAAAGGTAGTGGTAAATAGTGTGATAATTAAATTCCCAGAAGGTAGTAAGTCAAAAACTGCTGCAAAGGACTGCCATGGTATCAAAATGCCGCAGCAGTGAGATCAGAGATTAGATATTACTTCCAGAATGTAAAAAGTGAAATTCATTTTTGCAACAAGAAATCTAATATGTCTGAACAAAACTAATCACAAACAAGGATATTCAGTGCAAGGAGAGACCCATGTTTTGCAGCAGTAATGACAAAGGGGAATTTAAAGTTAATGGGCAGCTAATCAGATACGAATTTCTACTGTAAGACATCAGCAAGAAGGCTGCAGCTGAATTTAAAAATCCTTGCTTTTTGCCCACATAAAGTCTTACAAATTCCAACAGTAATTACAACTTTTCATGGGCACATGGCTTGGGTGGTGGGCACAGCGCTTTGCATGAAGGGGTAAATCACATTGCTTACAGGAGATGTTTCAGATCTTAATGACCACAGCCTGATTTCTGCCAAAGGCAGGGTTTGGGGGGGTGGTGGGTAGCAGTTTAGATGATAAAGTCACTATTTCCTAGCAAAAGGTCCAACACAGGAGTATCTGAGCACATGAGTATCAGAGAAGTCAGCAGGTGTGTAGGGAGGCCTGTTAGTGCTGGGGGACATGGAGGGGATAAGTGAGGGCAGGGCATGAAAGGCAGGAGAAGGGGGAAAGACGTGGTGCTTCTGACTGTTAGTCCTGGTGGTGAGCTGTTAGGCTGTGGCTTTTTTGGTTTATTCTAAAGAACGAACTTCCTTTACCCGAACTGAAAGCTCAAAGGGAAAAGGGTTTCTTTCTCTTGCTGAATGCATGTACAACAACTTTGATGGAGAATATGTTTCTTCGTAGAAGTTCCCGGGCATGGAAAGAGGCAAACTGATGTACATGCACTCTTTCAGTCATTGCTCATTGCTACAGTTTATGATCAAGTGCACACAAGCTGTTCTTATTTTCACAGTGGAGGCCATCAGTGAGTCCTGCAGTTCAGTGAGGGAAAATATATTTCCCTTCATGTGGCAAAGCTCTGAGGTATTTTGATACATTCTTATCTTGAAACTCTTCCTTCTTTCCTTCCTTCCTTCCTTCCTTCCTACAGAAGTATTTATTGCTGCAAAATTAATCATACTTGACAGGAATTTCTATAAACCTGCACAAAATAATTTTTTTCTCCTTGTTTATGTCTTTAATGGAAAAATTCCACTGAAAGCAATTAAGTAAATTTTTGTGGCTAAAAGTACTGGAGAAAGTAAATTCTGGCTTGATCTAATTTAACAGCACTACAATTATAAATGTTTAAATAAGGATCATTTTGAAAGATCTGTTTTGTCTACAGTAGCATTCATGCTGTCCTTGTACTACAGTGTTTTTTATGGTACAAGTGCTGTTCCTACCTCAAGTGTGGAGCAACTGTGTGCCAGATCACACAGCCTCTCCTCAGCTGGTAATGCCTCTGTCAGGTCAATAAAACTAGTGGTACAGGGGGAGGCAGGTAAAATTCCTGCTTGTCTGCCTTTGGCCCTGTACTTTCAATGTCCATTTATTAATTTACTGCAACTCAGTTATGGCTGGGCTTATTGGAACAGGGATTTCAAGCATGGGGACCCATAGCAAGAGGCTACTGTATACTTAAGATTAGAATAAAAAGAGAATGAAGTTTAATATACATATATTATAAAATTGCATAATTGAATTGGGCTATGTCTTAAAGCTTTTCCCAAGAAGTCTGTGAACTAGGAACCTGCTTTAAAAAGTGAGAGTCCTGCAGACCAGGGGCCTCTTGGAGCAGTGGCTTCAAAGAAACGCTGACCTTGGAAGAACCATATCACACATTACCTAAAGGATTACCCAATTCAGCTCATGTTTGATTATGTTCATGTAATTTTCTTGGTGCATATTTTCCTTTGAATGGGCAAAATGGTTAACTAAAGCTTTTCTTTTTGTTGTCTGTCTTAAAACCCAGGTGATGAATGCCCTTCAAAGGTGAGTGCTTCTAATTCACAGGCTCACTTTCATCATCTTCAAGGGCTTTCAGCTGTCCTTTGTCATTGCAAACCATGAAGGTGGAGATGGAGGTGCTGGGGCAGGAGGAAAGGCAAAGCTTAACCTTGCACATATGTAACCTAGAAATAACATTAAAAAAAAAAATCAAAACAGATGCATACCTTTTGAAACTACAGTTAAAGTGGATAAAGGACTTTTTACAAGGTACATATAATATTTTGCTGGCTGCTACAGATGGAAGCTGAAAGAGAAAAGAAAATAATGCTTGATAATAGAAAAAAATAATCTATATTCCATGCAAAGAAGGTGTCTGAAAGAAGCAGAGGACATCACACTGATAACAACAAAGCAGAGTTAAGAAGACCTGCCTATAAGGATCAACGGAAAGATCCCAATCCTAAGTAGGTATCCTAGCGCTATCAGAATCTAACCTTTGCTTCCCACAGATTTTGTGTGAAAACATGACTGATACATCTGACCCTTTTGGATTTTAAATTGGAAAGCTGCCCTGAGTCAAGGTTATTTTGTCTAATTTTCAGGTTCCCCTGCTGGAGTATGTATAGAGGGTTTGTGAACTCCACTCTCACCTGTGTTTGAGCAGGGTGAGCATATGGTAAAGAGCTGCTGGCACCAGTCTGAAGCAGCCCTGGTCCCTTCTACATCAGATTCTTTGAACTTCCTAGGAAAGGAGGTAGGAGACCAGATTACAGCTGACTGATATTAAACTACAGATACTTAAGGAAAGGAAGTTTCTGAGATCATACTTAGTAGATGCGCATGCATGCACACTTCCACGTGTACCTTTCTCTTCTATGGCTTGGCTTCATATAAATCTGACATTGCAAAGAAGAAGCTCCCAGAACCTATTAATGAGCATAACAACAGAGGAGGAAGTGTCCCTTCTGAAGGAAAAATTACAGTTCCTCACATACTCACATCTCAAGCCCTTACCTACTGAACAATCTGCACAGGAAGAAAACTGTAGCAGTGCTGCAATAAAGGATGGAACCCTGAGAACCTCTAGACCCTCTTTGACACTAGAGAAGTCACTCCAGCTATATGGCAGTCAGAAATGTCTCCTGTGGCTCTTATGTTCCATGCAGAAAAACCTGCTTTCCTCTGCAAAACAGGAAATGGTCCAGGACAGAAAAAAGTCTGTGAATGTTTCAGTTCTTTTGCTCTCCTCCAATGTCCTTTATTGCACAGCAGCAGCTCAGCAGCATCTCCATGGAGGACTGTCATGGCATGACAACCTTCCACTATGAGAACAGTAAGTCATGCTTGTACACTGGCCAAATACAATGAGATTTGTTCTCTCCAGAGATTTCACTTATGCTGTCTAATATGTTAAATAATTGCCCCAAACCTGCTGGAATTACAGCTTGTTTCTGCATAGTTTTGTTTTGTTTTGTTTTGTTTTGTTTTTGGACAGTGAATTTGTACACATCCTCTCCTTGCTTTCAGGTGCCTTCACTTTAACACCTCCAAACTCGGAAAAATTAGACCAGTGTTTCCATAGCAACTTTAACTCTAATCCTTATTTGTATTACAATAAAATTATTCATTCAATGTTCACTAGGCCCTACAGTTAAGCTCAGCATAAAGACTCTTTGGTCTGTTGAAGTCCCAGTCCTTTACTCAGATCTCCAGACACGGTTAGGGATATTGCACATATATATATATTTCACAGAATCACAGAGTCATCTAGTTTGGAAGAGACCTCCAAGATCACCTAGTTCTGACCTAACACTAACCAGTCCTCCACTAACCCATATCATTAAGCTATATGTCTAAACATCTTTTGAAGACCTCCAGGGATGGTGACTCAACCACTTCCCTGGGCAGCCTGTTCCAGTGCCTAACAACCCTTTCAGTAAAGAAATTCTTCCTAACATCCAACCTAAACCTCCCATGGTGCAACTTTAGCCCATTCCCCCTCATCTTGTCACCAGGCACATGGGAGAATAGACCAACCCCCACCTCACTGCAGTCTCCTTTAAGGTACCTGTAGAGTGTGATAAAGTTGCCCCTGAGCCTTCTCTTTTCCAGGCTGAACAATCCCAGCTCCCTCAGCCACTCCTTGTAAGACTTGTTCTCCAGACCCCTCACCAGCTTTGTTGCCCTTCTCTGGACTCACTTGAGCACCTCAATCTCCTTCTTGTAGCAAGGGGCCCAAAACTGAACACAGTACTCGAGGTGCGGCCTCACCAGAGCTGAGTACAGGGGGACAATCACTTCCCTAGCCCTGCTGGCCACACTGTTTCTTATGTAAGCCAGGATGCTGGTGGCCTTCTTGGCCACCTGAGCACACTGCTGGCTCATATTCAGCCAACTGTCAACCATCACTCCCAGGTCCTTCTCCACCAGGCAGCTTTCCAATCACTCCTCTCCCAGCCTGTAACTCTGCTTGGGGTTGTTGTGCTCCAGGTGCAGGACCCGGCACTTGGCCTTGTTGAACCTCATACAATTGGCTTCAGCCCATTGGTGCAGCCTATCCAGATCCTCCTGCAGAGCCTTGCTGCCCTCAAGCAGACTGACACACGCACCTAACTTGGTGTTGTCTGCAAACTTACTGAGGGTGCACTCGATGCCCTCATCCAGATCATTGATAAAGATATTAAAGGGAACTGGCCCTAGTAGTGAGCCCTGGGGGACTCCACTAGTGAGCGGCCTCCAATTGGATTGAACTCCATTCACCACGACTCTGGGCCCAGCTATCCAGCCAGTTTCTAACCCAATGAAGCCTACACCAGTCCAAGCCATGAGCAGCCAGTTTCTTAAGGAGAATGCTGTGGGAGATGGTGTCAAAAGCCTTACTGAAGCCAAGGTAGACCACATGCACAGCCTTTCCCTCATCCACCAGGCATATCATCTAGTCATAGAAGGAGATCAGGTTCATCAAGCAGGACCTGCCTTTCATTAACCCATGCTGATTGGGCCTGATCACCTGCTTGTCCTGCAAGTGCTTCATGATGACACTCAAGATAATCTGCTCCATGAGCTTCCCTGGTACTGAGGTCAAACTAACAGGCTTATAGTTCCCCTGGTCTACTCTCAAGCCATTCTTGTATATGGGTGTCACATTTGCTAGCCGCCAGTCAGCTGGGACCTCCCCCGATAGCCGGGACTGCCGATAAATGATGGAAAGCGGCTTGGCCAGCTCCTCTGCCAGTTCTCTCAGTACCCTTGGGTAGATCCCATCCAACCCCATCGACTTGCATACATCGAAGTGCTGTAGCAGGTAGCTAACCATTTCCTCGTGGATTGTGAGGGCCACATCCTGCTTCCCATCCCCTTCCACCAGCTCAGGGTACAGGGTATCTAGAGAACAATGGGTATTGCTGCTAAAGACTGAGACAAAGAAGGCATTATGTACCTCAGCCTTTTCCTCATCTCTAAATTTCCCCCCGCATCCAGTAAAGGATGGAGATTTTCTTGTATTGTATTTCCAAGGGACAAAAATTGTCCCTTGGGCGAGTCAGGAATGAAATTGGTTCAATGTTTAAATAATTATAGTGAAAAGGTATGTTTTGTAGAGTTAGTTCTGCTTTTTAACCATTGAGGAGGAAAAGGAATTTGTTTAAAGCTGTAATTGCTGAGGAAGTCTCTGGAAAGAAAACAGATATTTCTATCAGATAATTGGTTTTCTTCATATACTGAGGTAGTTGGAAGTTTATTGGAGCTAGTAACTGTCTAATTTAGTCAATTGTCTCATATTACAACATGTATTAGTTTGATAGTTTAAGATTATTATTTTTTTTTTACTAACCACACTGTCTTCTCAATTGACTATATACCCATCCAACACATCCAGAAATATCTCCATTTTAAAAGTATGAACTGACTGAGCTGAAAAATGTGTGTTTTCAGAGGCAGTCTCTAAGCGTATAGTCAGACACTTCCAGAGAGATCTCTTTTTCAAAACATTTAGTGGCATTTTAGCTACCAAGCTGATGCTATTTGCTTCATTTGAGCTGATAGGTGTTTAGTGCTTTAGAAAATTAAGACAGTTATTTGAGTGCCTAGCAGGGAATAAACAGCATAATTTTAGACATCCATTTTTAGAATCTTGTATCTTGGTTTGAATCTTATACTGAATATAGGAGGGGATATTAAAATAAACTTGTAGCTTGCCAGGAAACTGACTTTTTAATGAGGACTTGTAAATTCAGAAATTACCTATGTCTTTCAGAAAATATATATATATTTAGATATTTATTAAAAACAAAAGTGATATCCTACAGAAACAGGAACACAAATTCTTATGTCTTAGAAAGCATCTTTGGCTGCAGAGGTGAAATCAGATCATAGCAAACTGCTGTTGCCTAAGAACTGAATAGCTGTTCATGGCAGGGACTCTCCTACTGATTGGTTGGTAGGTGCACAGAAAGAGGCAGCCTTCACGTGTCCTGCAGAGGAAGTGTCCCTCATTTTGCTTGGCATTGGGGGTTGTTTCCACTGACACTCTCTTACTGGCTCCATCTGATGAAATGCTATGGCAGCCTGTGCTTTCAGCTTGTCAGGAAGGAATGTACACTAGACCCTGTCCATAGCCATCATGCCAGTTCCAAGGATAGATTTTAACCCATTCATTATTCACCTGTTTTAGCAGGTTGTCATGACAATGATGGTTGCTAAATGCAAGGCAAACAAAGCAGATAGTGCTGGAGGATGTGTGAATGATGAGATGCCTGTATGACTCATCTACAGTCATTCCAGTGGCCTAAAGTGTCCAGAGACATCGTTACCTGATGCTTTCTGCAATGTGTCTAGAAATATACAGTCTTGACTGCCTTGGTGGTTGGTCTTGAATCATGGCTGCTGAGGAATAGCTGCTTGATTGGTTTAGTTCTTGCTGTTTTGGTCAACTGCCACACAAAATCCTCTCTGAACCAAGCTATGACAACCTTCACAAATTTGTTGGCATTTTCCATGCCTTGGGCTCATCTTTCAAATGTAAAAATAAAAATGCTCTTCCCCCCAACCTCCCCAATTCAGAAAACAGCTTTATGCAGGAATATTGCCATGTACTAAGTGATCATGGGATTGCTAGGGATGCAGCAACAAAACTGCCAGCAGTCAATCTAATAACACATCCCAGCAGGCTATGGAACCTAAAGAGCCAGCTACAAATTGACAGGATAACATTCAGCTGGCGAGGAACCGAAATTGTTTTGGGGCTTGCCATGATGGTAGTGATTTATATCGTGTCTATGCAACTGCTATCAACTTTCCAGACAGAGCTGAAAATAAAACCCTCACAGGGAAAGATCCTGCTGAGAGCCACAAATGGGATAGGAGTGGGCTCTAGGGAAGGAAGAGAAATCAAATGCTACAGCATTTTAATTAAGTTTTATGCAAGTACTAAACAATGAGAATGTACCTTATTTTTTGCAATATTTATTACTGTACTTTCTGATACCGGAATGGGTTGGGTTGATCTTGGCCAGCTGCTGGGCACCCACCCAGCCACTCTCCCACTCCCCCTCCTCAGGAAACAGGCATAGAAAAGAAAATGAAAAGTCTTGTGTGTTGAGCTGAAGGCAGGGAGGCCACACCTCACTGCATTGCAGAGCCAACTGGAAGCAGCTGTGTCCAGCACAGGGCAGCCCCAACCTCCTCCCACAACGGCTATCCCTGCAGCCCACCTCTGCCAAAGCCTTGACAACAACACTCAATAAACAGTTGTTAAACTATTCCTTTTTAAATAATATTTTTGGCTTGGTATGCAGAAACCTAATTTACTTGCTATTACTTCTCCCTCTCAAATGCACTTAAAAATGCCAACCAGTGTATCATATCTTTAAGTACTTGTGCCAGCTACATTTCTGGAGGGTTGCACTGGCAAATGTTTTTTTGTTGTTGTTTGTTTGTTTGTTTGTTTGGTTTGGTTTGTTTTTTGACTACTTATGCCATGTGGTACACCAGTTTAATAAGATATATTTACATAGCAGTGCTGAAAACAAGGAAATTATCAGAAGTGTAGCTAGATAAAGGCCAATTTCTGAGTGCTATGCATGTAATCAGCTTTTAATGTTGCGTGGTGTCTTCTACTTGAACCTCCAGGACTTTGTCCTGATTTCTCTACTAACTTAAATGACAGGTGCTTTACACCATTTCTTAGTCAAATGAACCAGGTTGTACAAGCTGACACAGGTCTGTAAAGACCATAGATCAGGAAAGTGACTCTATAGAATTTTGTATCTTCTCTGCAATAGGAGTTTTCAGCATTTTTCCCTTTCCCTTTCCCCTTCATTTCTCCTTTTCCATTTTCCTTTTTCCTTTTTCCTTTTGCTTTTCCTTTTCCCTTTTCCTTCCCATGATTTTGCAGGTTGCAGTTTTTCATGATTAACTTTAATGAAATGCAACATGGCAGGAGATGAAGAAATTCAC